TCCACCTCTTGCCACGACGACGAAGACCTCCTTCATCTTCATGAATGATCAACATCATCAACATCATCAACATCATCATCAAACTCTTGGCCTTTCCTCGTCCCTCATTACGCGGCCCGGCGAACAACTCATCACCCCCCATATCTTCATCGCTAACGAATAAGCAGAACAGGTTCACCATATCACACACTCGGCTGGTACGTCGCCAACAAGCCTATGCGGCTTAGGGGTAGATCTCCCGGAACCTTGCTTGCTACATTACGACTCTGCGTCTCTGCTTAAAGACCGCAGGGCTGTTGAATCCCGCCTCATTGGTTAACCGTTCCCACGTCACCACCTGTGGCTGGAGCACTTCGGGAAGAAAAGGAAGTTTTCTATCGGAGGAGGAGGGGGAGGGGGAGGGGAAGGAGGGGCAAAGCATCCGAGACGATTGGCTTTCCTCTTTTTTTTTTCCCCTCGTCCTTTCGCCAAGAAAAGCAGGCCACCGCCCTTTCTTCTAGACTACGGCCTACTCCGGGGGATCTACGGTCCTGCATATGAACCATACCCTGAGGCTTTTAGCCGAGGGGAAGGAGGAGGAGGAGGTTGGTTGGTTGGTGACTTGTTACTAGTGCAGTGGTTTTTTTTTTTTGCTTGGCTCTCGTGAGTTTCTACTCAGCCTTGCCAGGGACGACTCTATCCGTACGGACCGTACCCGCCGGCCGCCGTGCCGCCATTGCCAAATATGGAACTCTGGAGATGTGCTATTCCTGGACAGAGAATGCCTGCGGGATGGTATCTGATCTGCGTGTGTGAAAAGAAGGTGTGTCACTCAATGGATGATCTCCAACTGGGATATTTTCTGCATAGTTGTATGTGACATATTATCCGTGTTCACCCCATGTCACGATCCTCCTTCACTTCGGCACTTGCAAGTTTTGGAACTTGGTTCTCCCCCATCGTCGTTTCTGAAAAAACGCCCCCCAGTTACGCGGGGGGTTGGGGTTTGGGTGGGAGGATGGAACCTTGGGGGGTTGGTTTGACATTTGGCATGGCGGGGAGTTTTGATAGGTGCCCGACGGTGACATTTCCTGGGGAGACCGGCAACGGCGAGGCAGACAAAACAAAGCCACCCGGAGGAAAGATCCGAGCTCTTCACGAAGGGGAACCAAGAATCCGGGGATCATCAATGCTCCCCAATCAGAGCAGAAGGGGAGCTCAGGGCTGGGTTGAGAATAGAATAGATATCTAGCCGTACGGGTACGGGTAGGGGAGATGGGAATTTGACCATTGTTTTACAGGCCAAGAAATGGCATGTTGCTTGAAACTTCTTGGCTGTCGAGTGTAACTACCACGATAGGACAGAAGACAAACACGGAGGAAAGGTGGCCATCAATGCTTCAACAGAATTCTTGGCCAAGGGGTCTTTGGGGGGATCTCGACAAGAAATCTGGTACCCGGCTTGGGATTGGAGAACCAAGACTTCATCAATGCCCGTGAGAGGGTGACAGGAAGAGAGGACGACATGCGGGAAAAGAAACGCCAATGCCGATCTGGCCCCCAGCCTCAACCGGGCCAAGACCGATATTCGTGAGCATCGAAAAAGCTTCAATGCCGGCAAATCGTCTTGGGACTTCTTGGGGTGACGGATCAGGGTGGGAAAAAAGGCTTGAGAACCTCTTGGAAACTCTTGGGTGCTCTTGGCGGGTTTGTAAAGGTCCGCTAGGTGTTTTGGATGGGGAGGAATCTGTTGGTCGAGAGCAACTTTTTTTTTTTTTTGCTTGTGTGTTTTTTTAGAAAAAAGATGCGATGAGACGAAAAAATGGGAAAGAGAGTTCAGACGTCTCTCCCCCCCTTCCCGCCCGACGGGATTGATGGGCGATCACTCTTCCCTCTACGGAGGGATTCTCCGTACGGGACAGGCAAACCCCAAGCGTCGAGCGTGCCAAGCATGCAGAAGTGAGTGTAGGCATGAATTCTACAAGCGCCACAGGCCACAGGCTTACAGATTCTTCTCTCTCGAGGAACGTGTGTCGTCTCTACGTCGTTTGAGGTGGTTGCAGAAAGACCGTTAGAAGGTCCCCCCTTTCCACCCCGTACGAGCATCACATTTCTGCAGTGCAGTTTGTCTGCGTGTGTCTTACCTTAGTCAATCACGTTGTTGATCTGGTGCCGCAGCGGTAGTACTATGTATAACTTCCGTGCTCATCCAGCCATGAACCAAAACTGGTCAAACGGACCCTGCAGGACTTTTGTGTACGGCTGTATGGCCCAGGAGGCACGAGCCATGTTTCCAAAACGGCGAAAGTTGATACGTGCCGCAAGTTATTACGGCACTTGGATGACCAAATCTGCGACTTGGCAAAGTCTTGCGCTGAATCAGTTGCAGTCTTGCCAAGACAATTTCGAGGGGCGTTCTGACGAGTGACTTCCAACGGAAACAAGAAATCGAGGCTGGCCTGCAGGAGCATGGGGATTACATCGAACATCGCATAACCCCAAAAAAATCACCGAGTTACACCGATTGAACCATCAACCACCCCCATGGGGACGGCCAATTGACCGGTGGCTTTCTTGGTTCACAACTTGGAAAGCGACTCCATTCTTGGGGCCTGCCCTTGGGGTATCCTCTTTGCTGCTTGGAGAAAATACAGGGCATGGTTTTCTCTTTGGTAACAGGCATGACAGGTAAGTGGTCGGCCATTGGGGGCCGTGTTTAGAATGGAATACGGCCGATCACTACCGGCCTCGCCCACTACCAAGCTCATGGGAGCCCACTAAAGAGTTGGCCTTGGTTGGTCGAATTGAAGGATCTTTGAGAGAACCAAGAACCTGCTGGAAGCCTGGTGTGCCTGGAAACCCGGGTCGGAGATGGCCTTGTTGTCGTCGGTGCGCCAAACAAATGGGACCGGAGTTGAGAAATACTGGGGAAGGACGATGGGGAAGCAGAAGAGATGGAGGAGAAACTGGAGCCTCGCGAACGGTAGCGTGCCCTCGTGAGTCGTGAAAGCCTCGTCCATGGTGCGCGCCTGCGCGGAGATGTGCGTGTGGGCAAATCACAATCTCTCCGAAATAATGAGGCGGTCAAGATCCGCGGACTCTACTTGTTTAGCAGCGGGTATTTCTGCGCTGCGGCATGGCCAGCCCGGCGCTCAATTCGCGCCGACCGCCGTCCGGGTATAGCACGAACGTCGTCATTCGCGCAAACCACATCAATTCGACCACGCCGGTGCGGTCCCGAGGTACGGAGATGGGGACGATGGGGTAGGCGGGTTTGCCCTTATTTTCTTTGTATTAATCTTTTTTGTTCATAAGAGACAAGGAGATATACCCCCCGATTCAAGGCCTTTCATTGGTCGGGACAGCCTGGGAAAGCATGGAATGCCAGGAATGGATACCGAGGACACGAAGAGAGTGAGAGTGAAATATCCATCGGCGCGATTAGCCCCGTATCCACAGGAAACCACTAGCCTCTACGTAGTAGTATCAATAAGGAACCGAGGAGGATTTGAGGAATGGAATGGAGTTCCCATTGTTGCATTAAGACGATTCGGCCCATGCCCAATTTTAGGGAAGGGGCCTTTCCCTCGGACGGGTGCCACTCGACGACGACGAGGACGACGACGACGGCTACGACAACGACGGCACGTCACAGAGGGACCCCTGGACTCTCCTCCATCAGATTCAGACTTGGACTGGGTAATTGATGGGAACCTGTTTGACAACGCGCCGTTTCTGGGAAACCCCACGTCACGAATCAGCGAAGCACAAAGAGATTCATGGCAAAACGAACCGAAGAGCATAACATAAAAATAAAACTGGATCCTCGTTATGAGCAGAAAACAGGGTCTCTAGTGGCTGGGAGTGGAGTCGAAGGCTGATTCAAGCTGAGGACGACGACGAGGATCGGAGGACGAGGATAGTAAGCGCCTCCGCCGCCGTAGGACCGTAGGACGGCTGACGGCCAGACTGATGGAGCTCTGGGGGCTGTTTCTGTTCGAGGTCGTTCGCCTGGTTTCAGTCAAAGTGAAGATTGCTAGCTGGTCATTTTCGTTGACTTTTCTCTTCTTCTGATGATAAGATGGGACAATGCAACGCGACGGAACTCTCGCGGTTGCATCTGCCCTGTCCTCGACGGATACCACGTTGGAAATAGAAGCTTGAGCGATTTGTGACTTGGTCTGGCCTAGTATGGTTCGGCTCGAGACCTGACATCCCATCTGTTGGCGTTGGCGTTAATACTGGTGCGGCAGCTTGTTGCTGCATTATCTTGACAGGAAGAGTTTGTTTGGTTGGGAGAGATGAGTCCGCCACGCCGTCGGGCCTTTTCCGACTCCCAGACCGCCACCTTCACAGTGCTATGCACGCAGCACGCCTCACTGGTGAATCAAGGCCCTCTGAAGAGCTTTCAGTATGAGCCAAATAACTCACCGTGGTATCGTCCTAATACACCTAGGAGACTCCACAAGTCTACGGCGTATTCCCGGGTGTAGAGACGGCTACGTTCTGTTTTGAACGAGGGGCCCGCGTTTCCAACGTGGAGGGTTACATTCACCTACCGCCGCAGTGTATCCGTAGTACCGTACCCGTCGTGCGCCAACCCGACCCGACCACACACGTCGATGAGGCGAACTGTGCGTTTTGCGGACGCTAGGAGACTTGTTGAACCCTTGACTGGTCGTGACATGCAGGAACTCTGGGGTTCGCTCATCGGCTGCAACTTTGCGCGCGTGTACGGAGCACCTTGGGTATGTACCTGACTGTTTGTGTGCGCAACCCTGCCAGAAACGAGACGGTGGCATCGACCTCGGCGGGAGTCGTATCTCAGTCCGTATCTTTCGACGTCGTATTCTTAGGAGCCTTCAACTTTGAGAAGGGAACGTGGGGTGTGGGAGGATTGGGGCAACATTTGGCGATCTTGGACGACGGACGAACAAGCGCGACACATTTTTGACACGGCACTAAGGTACGCTCCCACGGCTCCCACGACGTTTACTCTCAGTCTCGAGTCTCGTCCGGGACTACAGGCCGGGGCCAGGCCAGGCACAGACGATTCCTGTATGCTTCCCGCGATTTGCGCTCCCAAAAGCCATGGGAAGGGTGCAGAGTGGCTGGGGGGGCCGGGAACGTGGTGGTGGATGGGTGACGGTAACACAAGACGCCATCGAAGAGATACAAGCCTCTAGTGGCCGATCTGCAGATATCGGCTGTACTAAGGGCGGGCATCGTGTAGACGGGCACATCCGTCGTTGAAGAGTGACAGTGGTGCGCCGCCAGCGTTGGCGTCTGGTGGCGTCGTGCTTGTGTGTAGTGTGTACAGATAGTATGCGGTGCGTGCGGTGAGCGGTGTGCGATAGGTGTGTGCCATGTGTGTTTATGTCGTGATATGCCGTTGGTGGTGTAGGGGTTTTGGTTGGACGAAACCGGGGGGAGGGATAGAGAGAGGAAATGCCAAGAGAAAGGAGGCTCAATCGGCTGTGCGACTCGACATTGACGACATTGTGATTGAGAGCTTGCGTTTCGGCCGTGGCTTTGAAGTCTGTGATGGTGTTGTGGTTGGATGTTGGTGGCAGGCTGGGAAAGCGATGGAGTTTTCTCCGAAACGCAGCCAAGTCCAGCCCTGCCCGCCTGCCACAGCTTACGCAGATCACCACAGGTGAGGCAGGCGCGGCAGGTGAGCAAGGTGAGGCAGGGAAGGAGAAAGGCAGGTGAATGAGGAAAAGGATTGACAGGAACCACGAAGTCACCCAAGCATCAAGGCAAGGCAGGTAGGTACTTGACGATGCTTGGCGCTTGCCGTTCAGAGTGCCGTTCATGTTCCCAACCTTAACGGCAGGAATAACGACAGGAATCTCCGCTGTGGCCGCGGTGTCCCGTCGTCCAATTGCATATCAAAATATCTGCAGATGCAAGACCGTCGTCGTTGACTTTTTCCGCCGCCACCACCGCCTCCGTCGCCTTCGCCGGACGTTAACTTTTTTTTTTCCTCTCCTTGTCCTTCCATGTTTAATCGTACCTGGGATATGGCGTTCTTTGTCTGACAATCTTCGTCGGCCGCGCGGGACCAGGGTCGAGGTACAGACGACTCGAACCAACAAAGCGGCAGACTGTGGTTCTGCACAAGAGACGGAAACTCAGGTACAGGGGACCCCCACTCAATGAATGAGGCCCCTTGTTGCACAAATCGTTTTGTTGTTGGTTCTTATCTTGCATCCCACAGCCTCGAGCATACTTGCGCACGCACAAGCCATCCGAAAACAGGGCAGGCAGGGCAGCGTGGCAGGGCACCTTGTTGAGAGTGCAAGGCTCACAACTAGTGTACGGATAACTCGACGGGAACGACCAGAGTCGGAAGAGCCACCCGACGCTTGATAGGCGCCATCGGTGGCTCGGGTCAATTGACTTGGGTTATGACGATGTAAGTGGCTACTTTACCGGTCACGGTCCAAGCTCACGACTCGGCAGAAGTAAGAGGTTTCTCACTTGAGGCTGGAGTCTAATTGCTAAGCCTCAATTGACGAAATGTTCAAATCAGACAAGTCAATGCCCTTGAGGTTGGGATTATTGGGAACTTGGGACCTGGGTAGGGGTTGGGGGGAACCGAAAGAAAGCCCCAATGTATGTTTGTAGGCATAGAGCAGGACTCCAGGACGACGTTGCGTAGTTTGTGATATCTGACTTGCCATCATCAAATGTCGCGGGATGCTTGCCTGCCTGTCGCAGTGTTGTGCGGCTTGCCTGTCATTTGTGCCTGCATTTCGTAAACTCGGCCTGCTACTCCGATTTCCCCCAGCTTTTGATTTCATTAGAGTAATCTTGGCAAGTTGAGGCCTGGGTCAAATGGCCAAGTCACAAGTCGCGATTGGAAAGTGAGATGGTCATGTCTCAGCCCCACTATTCCCTTCCAGCCTTTTTTCCCCATAAAAAACTGCTGCAAAGCACCAAAAGGAAGGAGTGAACCGAGATGGGCGCTATGCTTCCTTTGGTAGGCAGACACGGCAGGAGAGCCCAGGGCCCAAATGTTCGCATCTCGGTAATGACGCGAGATGCAGGACCGGCCGGGTTTAAACGAAGAGAGAGCGAGACTCACCCCCAAGCTTTCCCGAACATTGAGCCTTTGATTTCCCTTCAGCCTGATTTCCTTGATTTATTGGAAAGTTGGGGGCCCGTAATCCGTTGCCAATGCCATTTCGGTCCCGTCTTCTCTTTCGTCAGAACCGAAGCCGCGGTAAATCCACCCACCATCCATCCACCACTCATCACTGACCACTCATCCACCCCAGATTCCCAAGGCCAAGTGGAAGAGTCCGGGTTAGGCTTGGCTGCTCGTCAAATTACTTTGTCAAGCGAGCCGCGACATTGAGAGAGAAAGATAGGAAAAATACCCTTCCCCCCAAAAAACAAACCGAGAGAAGCCCGGACGGTGCGAGCGATGGATGCAACAACGCATACAATCATACAAAACATGTCTACGGAGTGCAGATACCAAGTTAGTGCTACCAACATGGCCATGGAACACATGCCTCCCCAGGCCTCGGCAAAATGACCCAGCGACTTTGGGAAATTCCTCATCCAGGCACGCCAACGACTAATCTTGGCCCAACTTCCAAGCCCGGGCCAACAAGGCACGTTCGTCACAGGACAAGGCAATCGAGCACCAAATAAAATATGTCCTTCTCTTATCTTCCTCCCGAGTTGAATACAGATCACGGATCGCGCGCCAAGCGGTTGTTTCCGAATGCATCCTGGTCGTGCGACGCGAGGGTCGGTCTTGACCAAAGCTTCTACCAATCCCTGTGCCACACAACGCTACGGTTACCATGAAGGAGGCCCAAGGCAACCTGGAAAAGAGGTTGAGAAAACACACAGACGCACGCTTGCAGAGTCCCAATTCGTCCCTTCAGATTCCTTGGATGTTTGATCTTCCACAGTGTTGACTGTTTCAACTCAACCACGACGACGACAATTCCCGCGACACGGCAAGGCGAAGAAGGAAAGGAACAGCATCCCCGTTCCGTCCCATCCCATCCATACCCCTTCGAATCAGGAAGAGACAGAGACACACAGAGAGCCACAGAGAAAGACGGGAAAGAGACCATGACGGAGAAACGTCGAATTGCCGACATAGCAGGGGTATCCGTACCTGGATTGTACCCACGCCCTGGACAATTCCGCAGTTCCCACAGTTGCAGAACATTGATCCACCGATCCATTCAACCCAGCGCTGCCAATCCAATCCCATCCCGTCTTCTTCTTCATCGATCCCAGCCAATGACGGCTCGGATATTCGTTGACATGCATTGGCAGGCCAAAGGTGGGCTAGCTAGTCTGCAAGGGATCCGCAAAATTGCCGTGTTTGTCGTGTGTCGAAAATTCCCGCCCACACGGCTGCTGCACCGAGACTGCGGGACTTTTTCTCCCAAAGCACCGAAGGTTGGATGGGATTTTCCAGGTTCGTCTGGCAAGCGCAATAGCATCGCTTTATGCAGCGACAGGACGACTGCAGAACACTCGAAAAAGGAAAGACGGGCAGTAGAACACGGCACCGAGAGCGAGTCCAGCTAGGCCAACCATAGAGAGAGAGAGAGAGAGAGAGAGACAGACTTCCGGGGGTCCAGTCCCGCCATGTCTTGGCGACTTCTAGTTGGGGAGGCTTGGCTGAAGCTGAAGCTGGTCTCTTTTTACTGCTGTAGGCCCCGATTGTCTGTTCTCAAGTTCTGAGCAGACACACGAAGCCCCGTGGCTGGCCCGGCTGGGAGTTCTGTCACCACTATCATACTTTGGCGTGTACCTAAGCAATGACGATTTCCATAAACTCTCCCGGCCACCCTCTCCCATGCAGGTCCAGCACATGAATGGGACTTTTTCACAGCCGCAATCGACAAAGGGAAGAAGCAAAGGTCGGACGAAGATTGAGTTCCCAGGCGGGAGGACTGGCCACCAATTGGCAACGATGGGGAGAGAAAAGAGACACGAGAAGGATGAGAGGGAAGGGCAACACGGCGAAAAAAGAGCGAGCAAAAAGTGAAATCGCGTAGGCTCGGCCACAGCCCGCGTATCTGCAGCTCGCAGCACGTCAAAAGAGAAACCCCACGGCAACTGAAGCTCCAGAACCCCTGTTCGATCGAGAGGATTGATGGGGATCGAGTGGGTTCCCTGGGGCTCTGCAGGGGCCCTGCCATTGGAGCAAGGGGACCCTCCTCGTCAGCTTGCTGCCCCAGGAACTCCTCTTCTTTTCATTCTAGCGTTGCTGCTAGTGTTTTCCTATCGTGGCAGGCATCTCCATGGAACCGAACCGGTGTCCACCCAGTGTGCCAGTGAGCCAGTGGTGCCCCCATCCATGGCAAAGAAATGGGCTCCAGCAATGCATTGCGCGAACGGTTTCCCTTCGATGCCGCACAAACCAATGCACGATGTCCCTGAGTCGGAAAAGTCAGGACTCGCCTCCTCCTCCAGGCTTGGCTTGGGACGTTTGTGGCTCCTCCCACGAATGCCAGACGAGCATGACAAGCAGCAAAGGGCCAGCGACAGCGGAGCGCGACTTCTTTGCAGCGTATTACGCCAGAAATTGCACACGGATCATCCAACGGGTCTCTTTCGCGCAAATCTCGCTTTTGGCCACGTTGGTCCAATGGCGTCTTCCCGGTTTCCCACTGACTAGTCGAGTCCTCACTTCCGCTCGCTCGTCGAGTCGTCGGAGGTCGGAGAGTAATTCACAGCTGGGTACCCGCGTAGGAGGAGTCGTGGAAACTTCGTTGGAACGGGGTTCGTCGACAGGAGTGACCGGTCAACGGGCCGGCCGACTTGCCACATTGAACAGCAATCATCCATCCAGCTCCGTCTGGAACCATAATCCATCGTCATCTCGCCTCCGACTGCCATGCTGTCCCTATCTTTTCGTCGAGACTACTTGACTACTCTGTATTACACGCTGCCTTGCGTGCCGAGATGCGAGAACTAGGCAGATTGACGTATCCGTAGCGCTTCCACTTTCACCACACGCAAGCCAAGAGCAAGGCCAGTCGGGCCCTCCCCCAGGATACAGCCAGAACGAGCCAAGTGGCGTTCTTGACTTCCGTGGGTGAGGCATTTGATGGACGCCAGCCAGTCCGGTCGGTCAAGCCAGGTTCAAGCGCAAATGAGGACATAGGGATTATACACCGCGGGCACACCGCACAAGCTACATTGCTGCACACGCATACGGCGCGTGAACGGGACCCCAATATCCCGCATCGTATGCGCTGCCCGCACTGCACAAAATCTGCCTCGTTTTTTTTTCTTGGCCCGCAACGTGAGTGACTTTGCAGGTTGAACGTCGCCGATTCATTTCCCACCCCCATCCAATATTGCGGTGATTTCTTCCCCATTTCCCCATATCCATAGGCCCCAACATTAATCAGTCTGTGTGTGTGTGTGTACATACTGAACGCAATTGGATAGTCACGGCACATGGCGTCAAACTATCTTGTCTTGAAGTCTCCGTACCGTGGCAAGTAGAAACCACTCATACTGCTATTCCAGGAAATCCATACTCTTAATGCTACTACGATACCGTTGCACTCTTTGATCGAGGTTTGGTTTTGGGCTTGGCCGGGGGTAAAAAGGCTTGGCAGGTTTCTCCCCGGAGTATCTCGTTGGTCGGATTTGTTTTTTTATTCTTAATTTGGGTTAAAGATTTCCTCTGCAGTGCAGTGCCAGCGGTGAAGAGCTTAAAAAAAGAAATACGCTAACAGGTGTGTAGTGTAAGAGACAGAGAGGCAAGGCAAACGCGCAACACTTGAGGGATGGGATGGTTCACGTATAGCCTCAACTCAAGGCCCGTCGCGAGGCAGATCGCTTGACAGTGTTTCCAAGGAAAGACTTGGCGATGCTTGGGGGAGGGGCAGAGGCAGTGTCACAGTGAGAGCTCAGGGAGAGAGAGAGAGACACAGAGAGACACAGAGAGGGCTTTGACCGCCGCCTGTCACTTTCGTGTAATTCAAAACCCTACGAATCGTGAATGGACCACCCTCTTCACACGCAACCAAACACCCTTCGCCGCGGTCTATTCCGGGGATTTCTTGGCGCTGCTTACTGGAGTCTTGAGAGCCATAGCCAGACATAGACTTGCATCACCGCAGTCGAGGGCAAGACGAGGACATGACAATTGGAGTCTTGGCAGAGGCTCTATCCTAGATGCCCGTCCAAGTGCCCGTCCGCACTGTACAGCGGAAGCAAGACGGAGTTGGGAGTTGGGAGTTGAACGTTGCCAGTGGTGGGTGGTCCTTTGCCCTTCCCGCCTCGGCTCCTCCAAAAGGAAGTTTTCCACCCCCACCACGCTGCATGCTGCAAAAGTAAGTAGTGCTGTGCAAAGCGGTTCTCAGTACCGGTGCAGATGTGCAAAGAGGTCCAACAATGCAGCGACGGTCTGCAAGTACTCCGTACATAGTGCAAAGTCGGGACGCGAAAGCGGGTGGATGCCAAGCGGAAAGGGTTCGCCGTACGGAGACTCCATTGTCGAGCAAGCCATCTGCGGTAAGGTTGATGGCGGGACTTCGGAGAGGTACAAAGATACCTACCTGTTTGGTGCTGGGTTGCTTATCGCGCGTGGACCAAGGCTTTCCAGGGTTCACCGGCTTAGAGGTCTTGGACGTGGAATTGGGGAACGAGGCGGCGGCGAGTTAAGTCACGTGATGTGGGTTTCGGAGCAGAGCTGAAACTGTCGCGACGACAAGGGGCCGGACGAAAAGAGATGGGGAGTGGAGGACAAAGAGTACGTATTGCGAATACCTCACACGGTACGTAGCCCCGGGACTCTCTCTCTCTTTCGACTCTCGACTCTCAAGTCTCTCACTCTGGAGGGGTCAAAGGGGGGTGCGGTCGTCCAATTGGAGGGGCAATGGAAAGGAAATCCTCCCCTCCAGACCCCCCCTCCCCCTTCCAAGTCCCGACTCCCGACTCTGGTCTCTCTTCTCTCTGCTCCAACTCTCCCAGTCCCAGTCCCTGATAGTCAAACGTCTCTTGTTCTTTCAACCCACGGAACATGTCCTTTAGCAGGGGGGTGTGTCCGGGTCCGCGCTCAACGTGGACTAGACAGATGGGACACTTCCTCACAACCGAAGGAACTCTGGAGACTGCAGACTGGAGACTGGAGCTCGACTTTTTTGCGGCGGCGCGCGGGGGGTTGCCCGAGAACAGAGGTGAACTACGAATACTCCGTACGGTGCAGAGAGCTCGACGAAATCTCGGAATTATGTCTGTGTCAAGTACGTAGCGTACCTAGTGTATCGGTATCCGTACTGGTAGTAGCTCCTCTTCTTTCTGACCTCGTCTGTCTTTTTTTCCCTCAAATCTTTTTTATTGACGTGCCCAGCAAGCGGCCAGCCCAGCCCAGTCCATCCCGCCATAACCACCACCCCCCCTAGGACACGCCGTGTAGTACTACTGAGGCATTTTATTTTTGTATCATAGAGACTTGAACTTGACCCCCATCTTCACCCTCAACCCCCATACAATGGCAAGTCACTGCAGAGTTTCTTCCTCGAAACGCACGACTCACGCTGGCTTCCCCTTGTTGTCAGATATCCATCCTCGCATCCTGGCAGATGAGACAGCGACTTGTCTCTGTCTTGATAGGTCGGCCCGTCTAATGGGGCATCTGGGGGACCAAATTCACGCTAGAAGCTGGCCAATATTCTTCCACACAGAAAGAGGCTTGGCTCCAAAAAAGGCACGAGACATGGAAGTGAGGGAGGCAGAGAGAAAGAGAAAGAGAGAGAGATAGCACGGCGTGACGGCACAGAGCACACTCACACGTACACGAGAGAGAGAGCGAGGCAAGCAAGCCCGCCAGCCGCAAGCCGCAAAGCTAATGGAAAGGAACGCGGGTCCCAAAGGTCCCCACGTCCAACGCCGTAGTAGGTTGGATTGCCCTGCCAGCCAGCTCGTCCTAGTGTAGCTCCCCAGTTCTTCGGCACGAAGTCCTCGTCTCTTGTCTTGTCAGTGTCTTTCTAGCGGCAGCTAAGCTGTATAGTGTACACAGTGGTACATACTGGCAGTAACAGACAGACAGATAGACAGACAACGCCTTTCTCGGTCCAGTTTTTTTTTTATCTCGCTCTTTGCTCTAGGTATGTACTGCTGCTGCTCCCTTCTGCTCCTACTTCTCGCGCCAGACGCTTGCCCAGCGGCAAAAATGTCCCGTCGTCTCTGCTCTGTATCCGTACCCTTGCTCGAAATAGCATCGACGTCGCTCGCCCGGTCACAGTGTGTGGGTTTTTCCCTCACCCGCATCTGTTTTGATGCTTGCAACTTCTTGGCGTTGATCCGAGCAAGACGGGGTACGCAGCTACACGCCGGTCCCTTGTTCACACACACACCTACCACACAGCTCACACACGCCGACGCCGCGGTCTCTTGCCTCTCGTCTCGTTTCTTGCCTCTCCATTACCGCGCGAGGGTAGGTACCAAACTACGGAGAGTATGGAGTATGCCACAATGCCAGTCTACCTTTTTTTTTTCCCCCTTCCACACTGGGGGCCGTGGCCCATGCCCTTCCTTACCTTGCCTTGCCTTGCCTTGGTCCCATCTTCTTGTTCCCATCCGCGGAACCTCTTCGACCAGTCCGGCCTCGCCGTTTGACAGATGTAATATAATATGCCCCATTCTCCCACCGTGATTCATGTCTCTTCTGGTTTAGCCTTCTTCCTCACCCTGCTCTGCCCCTCCTTCCTCTCTCCTCCCTCATCCTCTACCTTCCTATATATACCTGTCCTGCGCTCGCCTCTACTACCCCTACAGCTGGACTGTATTCCTTTTCCGTTGTTCTATGGCACCATACAAAATGGCGGGCTTAATAGGAAAAGGAGGCAACAAGCACTACCCTCAACCCATCAACACCGAGGATGACGACCAGGACCTCGAGACCGGCAACTTCATCCAGGAGCGCGCCAGGAACAACCGGGTTGATGGCGGTGCTGGCGAAGGCGGTACCAACGAGGAGTACAGATCGTAAGTCTATCTTCTTCACCATCACCCCCAGAAAACCAGTCTTACACGCCATTGGCTCTTCTCCAAGCGCCAATGGCTCAGAATTCTCCCTCCAATGTAACGCTGGCAACTAACACCGCACTTTTCACCACAGTCTGATCAAGTACATCGACACCTACCGGGACCCCAACGCTGAGGTGGAAGAGACCGAGGCGGCCACAACCAAGAAGGTGCCAGCATGGCAATTCTGGAAGAAGGCCACCCAGGAGGGCGCTGGTGCCAGCGGCTTCGTCACTCCCGCCGACTGGCTCAAGACCGACATGAGGCAAGGTCTTGACCCCACGGAAGTCGAGCGCCGCAGAAAGTACACCGGCTGGAACGAACTCACCACCGAGAAGGAGAACATGTTCCTCAAGTTCGTCGGTTTCTTCCGCGGTCCCATTCTCTATGGTAAGCACAAGCCAACAACCACTTCACTGCAGTCTGCGGCATGGACTGCATGAAACACCAAGGCCAAAACGCTAATTCTCAATGCAGTCATGGAGTGTGCCGCTATCCTCGCCTTTGCCCTGCAGGACTGGCTTGACGCCGGTCTGATTGTCGCCATTTTGTTGCTCAACGCCGCTGTCGGTTGGTACCAAGAGAAGCAGGCTGCCGACGTCGTCGCCTCCCTCAAGGGTGACATTGCCATGAAGGCTCGTGTCGTCCGCCAGGGCAGAGAAGAAGACATCCGCGCTCGTGAACTCGTCCCCGGTGACATTGTAAGTCGTCTCATCTCGATTATCGCATCGGCGATTCAGGGAAAGCCAATCTTACTTACACGGACTCTCTAGATCATTGTCGAGGAAGGCCACGTCGTCCCCGCCGATTGCCAGCTTATTTGCGACTACGAGAACCCCGCCGGCTACAGCGCCTACAAGGCTGAGCTCGAGGCTCAGGATGTCATGTCCCCCCGCCGCGAGAAGTTCGAGGAGGGTGATGAGGAGAACGCCAACCCCGCCCTCGGACACTCCATCGTCGCCGTTGACCAGTCTGCCATGACTGGTGAGTCCCTCGCTGTCGACAAGTTCATGACCGACACTTGCTACTACACCACCGGTTGCAAGCGCGGCAAGGCTTTCTGTATCGTCACCCACGGCGCCCAGGCCTCTTTCGTCGGAAAGACCGCCTCCCTCGTCCAGGGCGCCCAGGACCAGGGTCACTTCAAGGCCATCATGAACTCCATCGGTACTACGCTTCTCGCCCTTGTCATCATCTTCATCCTCGCCGCCTGGATCGGTGGTTTCTACCGCTCCATTGAGGTCTCTGAGGAGGGCACTTCCGTCAACTTGCTCCACTACGCCTTGATTCTTCTCATTATCGGTGTCCCCATCGGTCTGCCTTGCGTTACCACCACCACCTTGGCCGTCGGTGCCGCCTACCTCGCCGAGGAGAAGGCTATCGTCCAGAAGCTTACCGCCATTGAGTCCCTTGCCGGTGTCGACATTCTCTGCTCCGATAAGACTGGTACCCTCACTGCCAACCAGCTGTCCGTCCGCGAGCCCTTCGTCATGGAGGGAGTCGACATCAACTGGATGATGGCCGTTGCCGCCCTTGCCTCTTCCCACAACATCAAGGCTCTCGACCCCATTGACAAGATCACCGTTCTCACCCTCAAGCGCTACCCCAAGGCCAAGGAGCTCATCTCTGACGGCTGGAAGACCGAGAAGTTCACTCCCTTCGACCCCGTCTCCAAGCGTATCACCACCATCGCCACCCACCGTGGTGTCCGTTACACTTGCGCCAAGGGTGCCCCCAAGGCCGTTCTCGCCCTCACCGACTGCACCGAGGAGCAGTCCGCCCTCTTCAAGGAGAAGGCGGCCGAGTTCGCTCGCCGTGGTTTCCGTTCCCTCGCCGTCGCCGTCAAGGAGGAGGATGGCCCCTGGGAGATGCTCGGCATGCTGTCCCTCTTCGACCCCCCTCGTTCTGATACCGGCCAGACCATTCTCGAGGCCCAGGCTCTCGGTCTCCAGGTCAAGATGCTTACTGGTGACGCCCACGCCATCGCCGTCGAGACCTGCCGCATGCTTCAGCTCGGTACCAAGGTTTACAACTCCGACAAGCTTCTTCACTCCGACATGGCTGGCACTTCCATCCACGATCTTTGCGAGCGTGCCGACGGTTTCGCCGAGGTGTTCCCCGAGCACAAGTACCAGGTCGTCGAGATGCTTCAGCAGCGTGGTCACTTGACTGCCATGACTGGTGACGGTGTCAACGATGCTCCTTCCCTGAAGAAGTCTGACTGCGGTATTGCCGTCGAGGGTGCCACCGAGGCTGCCCAGGCCGCCGCCGATATCGTCTTCCTTGCTCCCGGTCTCTCCACCATTGTCTCCGCCATCAAGCTGTCTCGCCAGATTTTCCAGCGCATGAAGGCCTACATCCAGTACCGTATCGCCCTTTGCTTGCACTTGGAGATCTACCTGGTCACCTCCATGATCATCATCAACGAGACTGTCCGCGCCGACCTGATTGTCTTCCTCGCTCTCTTCGCTGATTTGGCCACCATTGCCGTCGCTGTAAGTATCTGCCTCACTCAGCACATTCACTTCATGTCACTAATCAAACCAATAGTACGACAACGCCCACTTCGAGAAGCGTCCCGTCGAGTGGCAATTGCCCAAGATCTGGATTATCTCCATCGTTCTCGGCTCTCTCCTCGCTGCCGGCACCTGGATTCTCCGCGGTACCATGTACATCACCGAGGGTGGTGTCATCCACGACTACGGTTCCGTCCAGGAGATTCTCTTCCTCGAGATCTCCCTCACCCAGAACTGGCTCATCTTCGTCACCCGTGGCTTCGACACCTTCCCCTCCTTCCAGCTCATCGGTGCCATCGCCGCCGTCGACGTCCTGTCCATCCTCTTCTGCGTCTTCGGCTGGTTCTCTGGCGGCCGCGGCGAGCCCGCCTCCCCTCCCTCGCTCAACAAGTTCCTGTCCGAGAACGGCCGCACCGACTTCGTCACCGTCTGCGTCGTCTTCGTCTACTCCGTCGCCGTCACCATCGTCATGGCCCTGGTCTACTACGTCCTGACCAACCTCCGGGTCCTCAACGACATGGGCCGCAAGAAGCGCAGCGTCACCGACACCCTCATCGAGAACGTCCTCACTCAGCTGAGCAAGGTCGCCCTCGAGCACGAGAAGGACGACAAGGGCGAGCGCTTCTACATTGCCAACCGCGCCGTCGTCGAGGAGGGCTAAGCGTCCTGAGTCGAGCAACTGGAGAGAGTTTCGACCAAAACATGAAAGAAATCAAAAAAATCAACACAAAAATTAGACATCATGTTATTAGGAGCGCGCGCGGCAGAGCAGTCACAAACAAAGCGTGTTTTGAACGGCATCGAGTTTCACAACAAAAAATCCATTTCTGAAATCATTTTTTTTCCATATCCCACTATAGAGAAAGAAGAAGGCGATGATACTTCTTAGGTGCGAGGAAGAGAGAAAGACCAGCCAAAAGGGAAAGGCGAGGGACACACCAACCTCTAGATGACGCGCTTGGTAATATTTGGCGACATCGACACGACTGTCACTAATGACCCATTTTCACGAGCAGTTTTCTATAATGTAACAAAAAGACCATCATGTTCATTGTTGTGGCGTTGATCGGGTCAAGGGTCGGTCGGTTAATTCAATTAAATCTGAACAAGTTAAAACAAATCTGCGAGTTCCTTCATAGTGACATGTATGTAATCTTCTCAACTTGATATCACACTATGACATTGTCATGTATTCCCACTACGATTCAAAGCCCAACATCGCTCCCTCGGGAGACTGACAACATCCTTCGGCCCGATCTGTATTACAAGGCGAGAAAAAGACAGCCCAAATCCCAAGAGTCTTAGACCTGAAGAGAGACCCTGGACACCCTTGCTTCCCGTCCGAGGAGTACCACCCCATTGGGCCTAACCTACACAGTTCAACCTTTTCCGCAACTACGGCTGTTTCTGACTACCAGACACTCGGACCGCTTCATGCGTAAGCCGTCCTTCTCTTCCTCTTTTCTCTCTCTTCTCTCCCCACCGTAACCTCTCCGACCTCCGGACTTTCTCCCGTGTTGTTGGGAACGCCGTGCAGGATGAGTGGTTGGTGGCCCATGTTCCCACCCTCTTTGACGACGGCCAAGATCCGTCCACCGGCAATCTTTTCTTCCCTCGAGTCGGGACGACGCAGGAGGAGGGATCTGGAGGGTGGGCACGAGGCGGCGAGGACGAGAGAGAGGCGAAAAGGCGAGAAGCGGGAATCCCGGGATGAGAGTTTAGGCATGATGGCATTGAGACGTCGGGCTTGCCCCCTTTCCCCCTCCTTCTCACTCTCTGTGCGGTTTGTTAGCCGTTACTAGTGCGTATGCCTTACGACGTCCTGATGGATGTTCCTGATGGATGACGAAGACCATTCTTTTTTTTTCCCCTGTGTCCCAGCTCTTTCTGAATCACGCTTCTTCTGATTCACGGGTCGATCGCTCAAGTCAGACACTTTCTCAACCCCTTGAATCCTGCCCGGGTCAACCGATAACGCGAGATGCCCGAGGGGGCCCAAGGGGTGGTGCGGATGGACCAACACTTGGTCAAGATTGAAAAGAAGCCTTCTATTTTTTTCTCGTCTCCTCTTCGCCTTCTCGTTTTCTCCCTACGCCGGAGCACGAAAGATTATGCGGGCTCACTCTCTTCACGAGACGATATGCACGACATGTCTTGAGACGTTTTTGTTAGCCCCCTTGGAGTTGGTCTCTGCGCTTCTGCTTTGAGAGGCGCAAAGGATGAGATCGCTGCTTGTTTGGATACTTCGCACAGTACCGCTTTCTCTTTCAGGTCAACCTTTTCCTCAGAAGTTTCCAGCCCAAGCGGTGTTGGACTCGTGTAGACGATGGAAGCCGGGCAAGCGAGTACGTGTAAGCCCTTAGAAGCACCCGCGCTTCTAACCCTCCTGAGTCAATGATCACACACGGCATGATACCTACCAGGAGTGGGAAGATAATACATCAACTGATCGCATTCACACCTTACCCGTTGGCCTTTGATTGAGTTATCTGACTCTGCTGCCGATACCATGTCGCCATGTCGACTTCCCGAACAGCTGTCTTGCCGGGACGCGTGGATCACCGGGAGTCAGGGTGGCATGGGCAGGAAAGTCTGTTGAAGTATGGCATATAGCACACAAGAGTGTAATTCCCTAGCAATGTGCTGGAATTTTGACAGGTTTTCCAAGGCTTGATATGTAGCGCTAGCAGTACCTACCAAACTTGGTAGGATCATTCAAGTAATTCGAACACTTCTCTTCCTCGGCCGCTTGCCTATCCGCTTGCCCTTTACCCTATTGGAAGTCAAATCATAGAGCCCTTCGATGGAGATGGCTTACTCCTATACCAGAAGGTCATGAGTGTATACAAAAACGCAAACTCGGATTATAGAGAACCTGATGACAAGATACTTGAAGACCCAAATGAGCCCAAACGGTCCATGCGAATTCGTGACTTCTACACCTTGTTTGCTTTCGTTGCATACTGCTGTTCTATAATTTTCCCCCAAGCTTTCAGTGAAAGGATGTTTCCTTTAATTCGGACCTCGTCCTTGGACAATTCCTTGACCCTGAATTTTTGTTCCGGAAATTTCTCAAAGAGGTGGTCTTTGCTGCAAACGAAATTTCCTAGGGTGCCCTCTTGCAGTTTCTTGAGGCATTCCTCGTCGAATTGGACTTGACCGCACTCATCTATGCACGTCCACATACCGTTTGGATTATCAAACTCCTTGTCACAGCCGTCACAAAGTATTTTCATGCCGTATATGGGCTCTTTAGGCTTCCCTGATTCCTGGCCATCATCGTCGTGTTCTTCTGGCGCCAATTCGATACCGGATACTGAGGGAGGTGGTGCTGCCCGTGCATCGGGGGAGTCGTCTTGACTATGTGTGGTGTTCGCTCCGTGTCCTAAGTACCTGTCAGCTACACAGTACGGTCTCTCGGGGGGAGTGGCTTCAACTTGGATGAGGCAAGTGATTTCCGCCGTCGTGAACCTCACCATTGCTATTGTTTTTGTTCGATTCATTGCGGCGCCTCCACTCGATCATTTGCTCTTCCCATTGTTCCTTATTCCTCACATGTTCCGTGTATTCCACCGCTGCAAGCATAGTCACTGCTGCGATGGCGTTGTCAATGTCTTTGAAGGTCCAGAAAAGTGCCTGTAATTGCCAGAAGCACTGATAGTCGTCGCTTGAGTCGTCATTCAGCATCATCTCAAGAGACTGTGATACCAGATCCCTTGCTACTTCCTTTGCTTTCTGAGATTTTCCACGGGCAAGGTAGTATCTTGAGAAATAGAGTACGGTCAGCGGCATGGAATCGCTCTTCTCGTAAGATTTCATGAAATCCTTGTGCAGCCGGTCAACTCTTTCTTCGAACTCGGGCGGCTCCGTCTTCGTCATTTTCGACGCCGCGACTCGCGCTGTGTACATTGGCATGATGTACCGCAGTACTTGGTTTTGCATCATGCGCTCGAAGTACTCAAATCCGGGTTCAATCTTTCTATCCATGAGTTCCTCAAACACTGCGAGCGCTTCATCCTGATGCTTCGGAGACCTTGAAAGGGAAATGCCGTAACTGGATCGCAGCTCAAAAGTGACCCAGAACGAGGAATTTCCCTTCTCACCCTGCTCATAGATGGCTCTCAACAGATCCCATTCGTCTAGGGCGTCTGCAGTCCGCACGAGGGCGATCATGAAAGGATCGGAATAGATTCCCTCCCACATGATCTTCCCAATAGCATTCCCGTGCCTCTGGGGAAAGCCCGCGACAAGCTGCTTCATCAGAGAAGCAATATGTCTCCACATCTTCGATTCTGCGTATCGCTTTACTATGCTGACGTATCGTGTGTGATGCGTGCCGTCTTTCTCAACACTTTTACTGTACGCTTCGGCAGCTTTGACTTGATTCTCTTGACCGCCCATGTTCCAAAGTCTGTCGCCTTGCTCAAGGTACAATTCCGCCAGAAGCCTTTTGTCTCGAGAAAGGCCGGGGCATTCCTCGCCAGACATGTAGCTGATGATGATACCCTCAAGAAGCTCGGCAGCATCTTCGTCCCTCTCAATAGCTCGAGCCAGGACGTAAGATGCCTTCCAGTTGGATGGGTCCTTGTTCAATGCTTCACGCGCTAGATTCTCAACATATCTGAGAGGAATGTCTTTGTGTCCATTCTTGTTGAGATTGAGAAGTACGGCGGCAACATGTGCTGTCCAAACCGAGGTAGGATCGCTTGCTGACGTTCTCAACGCCCAAACCTCCACAGCTTTCACCTGCTCAACTGTGGGCGTCCATATATTGTCTTCGTCGATGACTTTGTCTTCAGCGTTTGACTGGAATGAAAAGTCAGTTGCTACGTTTTGTCAGAATCTGGGGAAGGACATGCTTACCCTTGCCTCAGCAACGAGAAGAAATGCGAATGACGTTTCGATCTCGTAGGTTGTCGCACCTGGGTTTAAGAGGTGCGTGACTGCCCTCTTCACAGCAAACTTCAGTAGCTCGAAAGGTTGCTTCTCAATGACGTGGTTTGGCGCTGTCAAAGACTTCACCAAGCCGCTCTCACCGGTGTGTCGTAGAACATCAGTATCCCGGAAAAGCGACGTCTTCAGAAGATTAAGTGCCTTGTCATCCATGATCCAGGCACTCCAGCTGGCCGGAAGTTCTTTCAGCTCGAGGACACTCCTTCTGTCATCACTGACGGGGTAACAAAATCCAAACAACGAGTCCATGGCGTAGTCTTCGAGAAATAGTCTTGCAAGATAGCCCGCCACTTGAGCTTGAAGAAAAGGGTCTCTCTGGGATCGATAAGGAGAATGCATCTCGTCATCTGACGAATCAGATTTGTCTGTAGCGCCGTATTCATCATCCGGGGAAGACCGCTCGTCATGGGTGTCGCCGGGCTCAGTAATAGCTGAGCATAAGTGTTCGTGGAGATTTTCTGCTGCGTAGCTGTAAAGCGCCCTGGTTTCGGGTTTCCGCTCATCCACGAGACACATGAGACAGCGAAGAGAAAGAACAAGTTCTGCATTTGCCGGGTCTTGACAAGTATAACTTGCCTCGCTGCTGAGCTTCTGTTCGAAGAATTCCGTGAAACCGAACTTGTCATAAAGACTCTTAGGACAGACAGTCTGCAGGTAATGTTTCACCAGATTCACCTCAGCTAGCTGTATGGCCATCGAATCTGTAGTGATGCCACCGCGGGCGACGCCAGGGTTTGATCTCTTGTGTGGAATGCCCTGTTTGGCCTCTTCAATGCTCAGGCCGCCTTTGAATTTGATTTCTTTATCCTCATCGCGCTCGAAGAGCGAATAAGTGCCGCCCTCAATTCTGGACTTGAGTTTTCGGGCTGTCATATTCCGCTCATTGTCCTGCTGCGACTTGCTCTCTGCGGCATGCGCGAGTGATAATGCTGCCGCCATCTGACGCAGATTCAACCATGTCCGTCCATCGATGACCCAAAGAATCATCTCGTTGATATCGAATATGTTGTGAGGACTCTGCGTGTCGATGGATTGGACCATTCCGGATATTTTGCTAGCTGCTGTACTGCTGGCGCCTGTGAGACAGTTCTCAACCCAGTCTTGATCCAGGGGCTTCTTCTTAATCTTGTCCAATACATGGGCCATATTGCGGTAGTCTCCTCTTGCCGACCCTACCAACTTGTTGCTTATCCTTCTTCTCATTCGTGCGGCCCGTACATTGGATCGATTCGTCAATTCCGGCATCCGGTTCATACGATCGTCGATAAAATTGTCGATGTCTGAGCGGTTCTCATCCCTCAACCTGATAACTTCAATCCCGAGTTCATGTGTTTCTTCCAGGTCACTGAAGAATGCCGGCACGCCCGTAATTAGAATACGGATTCGTTGACAGGCTTTGACTTGACTCTCGACCGCATCCAAAAGAGATTTGGCAAACTTGGTATGTGCAGTTGCCAGTCCATCAATGACGATGAAGAATCTGGCTTCCGTCTTGCCAGAAGCCACATTTGAGATCAGAAGATTCCACATGTCGTCGTATCTCACCATCAGCCGTTTCGTTTCGCAAACTGCTGCGGTTGATTTGAGAAAGGGCCGGCAAGAGTCGGCGAATTGCCAGAGAAGGCTTCGTATGATAACAGGCTCGGTATCCCTTTCTGCGTTTGACTCGGTCTTCCGGCTGTCCTCCACGAAGTAGTATGCCACATAAGACCCTTTGCCCAACTGATTCAGATGTTCGATGATCTTCGATGCCAGATGCGTCTTTCCTGTGCCTTCGTCTCCCTCGAGCCCCAAGACAGGCATATGATGACTCTCCCCCCGTGCCCAATTATGGAAGCGTTCGTGGTTCCAAAGCCAGCGACCGTCATCATGGGACGACCTTGCCAAGTGTTTCAATAAACGCTCCTTCCAGAAAAAGATTGGGATCTTGCCCTCCGTACTCTGTAGCACAGAGCCATTCGGCCACCCAAGCTCGTCTATCACGGTAGATTTCCACTTCTTCTCATCAGTCCCAGTCTTCCAGTCAAACATAAAGCCATTGACATTCCTATCAACCCGATCCAGCCTTTCCAAGATGTCCATCTGGATTTGCCGGAATTCCTTCTTGTTGAGCTTCTTCGCTTCTTCTATAAGGTTCTTCACCTCGTCATTGTTTAGGAAGGTCGAGTTGAAGAAAGCGCGCGCTTTGAAGCGCACTTTCTGACGCAACTTGAGTGTGAGGTCGCAGACGTTGACAAACAGCATCAACTGCTGGCAAGCAATAAGCCTCAGCTTTGGCGTGGGATTCAATTTCTTGATATCATCAAGCCTGCCAAGCGACTCAATGAACCCTTGCAAAAGCTGGGCCAGAGCCTCAAACATGCCCTTATAGCCTTGATAAGCAAGAATGACAAACGTCAACGCGTTGAAGCAAGTGTTTGCAGGCCCGCCGAAAACCTAAGATTCCAGTAAGCACACGAATCACGAAAAATACAATTAATACGTCTCATCGCTAGATCTTACCTGTGATATAGGCCCAATCACGATGTCCCCGAGAGTCCGGATGCAAGTCAATGTCTTGTCAAAGGTCTGCTGGACCTCCTGAAACCTTCCTGAGCCATCAACAGACCTCTGAGCTTGAGCAGCCAATAGATCCGTGACATTCTTGACTGCCAGGTCCCCCCTTGGGACTTTTACGCCTGTTGTCTCGGCCATACTGCGCACTCGGTCTTCAACGACTTTCCAAATCTTCCCGAGTTCGTCGTCTGGATCCTTGGGAATATCAGGGTTCTCGGGCACAGCAACCTCTGAGGGCGACATATTGACGTGTGATTGAAGTTTCTAAGAGCTAAGCAACTCTTGCCTGGAATCTTGATGACAACTGAGTTGTAGCACTTAAAGACAAAAGTAAGACTACAAAGCAGATCAGATGAGGTCCGTCGATGATGGGGATGGGGAGCTTCTATAATTCTATGAGTCTAGGTAATGTAGCTATACGGTGTCCGGCTTATGGGTCGAGGACTTTTCAGCCTGACGAAACTATCGACTGATGTGCATTCTGCAGCCAAGAAAATATATTGGATGTGCGAATAACGCCTGCAGCACGCACTCAAACAGATCGCCAGCTCGTGGCTTCCTGTGATTGGCAACAATTGCTCATGATGCCACAGAAAGGGACGTGCAGGAAATGAAATCCGAATGGGTGCTGGATCTACGGGGTTGAACGATGTATCATATTCTACTACTATACTTTGCGAGAAGTTTGACGACTTGAGTTGAGTTGTGACCTCGGAATTGAGGGGCGGCAGCAAACTTATACATAGACTATATTCAATGGGCATTGATACGCGCCGAAGTATCTGGTGACTATGTATTGAAGAATACATCGACTGATATTGGACATTATAAAATCAGATTTATAACGTGAAGGAGAACACCTGCATTTTGCGTACATACTAACATTTCCTGTCACCCAGATTCAAATCTTGACCCGCCACAGCAAAGGGAGAGAAGAGGCAAGAAAGGCAGAAGAGGGTTGGGGCAGGTAGGCTGAGGATTCCCCTTGCAGGCATTTCTTATCTTCAGCTGATACAGCTGCAGCTGCATGTCTCAGGCTAGCTCCAGTATATGCAAGAAAGTCCGCGTTCTTACTGAACGAGCAGCCATCTGGATGTTGCGTCTATGCAACGCGACCATTACGGTATGCCGCGCGAGAAAGACTCATTGTCCCAGTTCTGTCCCTGGTTGATGGTTTTGCCCGCCTTCTTTTACCCAAATGTTCGAGGCCCTCTGCAAGCTGAGCAAACATGCACACACGTACATTGTTGGGAGGCAAATTGAGATCCCGGAAAGTCAGCGGCGGAGTTTCCACTCCGTTTATATAAAGCTTGGTTCCAGAAAACCTGTTACTAGTTATATGGACCTCTGTGGATGGCAAGGAGCGTGGTCCAACCTGTTGAGTCTACACTCGAACCGCCGACTTGTCCAATGCCAAGGGTAGCGTTAGCATTCGCACCGACAACCCTTGTCAGTTGCCTAGACATAGTAAATTCAGATTTGCTGTCAGAGTCGATGATTTGTTGCCTTACTTGCCATTTCCTATGAAGCAAGTGTACACTGGCCGCGGCGCCTTTAACCAGTAGGTCCCTAAGACCCGACTCCCATAGTGTCATGAAGTGCCACACTCCCTTGGTGTGGCAACATGTCACCACCAAGCTACTTTCGGACTCATTGAAACCACGGCCAGGCCCGGAAAGAGGTGCGGCACTCGGTGTCACTATCAGCAGACCCCACAGAGTGTATGCATGCGAGTTACCGTTGATGCGGTGGGATCTTTCACACATCGTTGGACACTACTATCTCACCTCGGCAGTCACAGGAACTCAATCACGCCGTCGATGTGACGAGGCACTGTTAAGCATAGTCTTGAACGTTCACGCAGGTCGAGAACGGCTAGAATGGGTAATATGTGGAAGAAGAGGGAAACTTAGGGTGCTGTTGGAGTTGTTGATGGGTACGATAGTGAAGCTTGCCACCACGAGTGCCTTGATGAGTACGTCCATTTGTCGGTAGCCAACGAGGAGACAACAATAAACGGGATGAAGCTGCTTGAATCATGCTTGAAAAGCTGCTCTTAGTAGTGTAGATAGATGATACAGAGAGCCTTCTTCGGCTCTTAACAGCATGTCTGAAGCCGAAGGATTGCCAACCCCTGCCTATCAAAATTTTGGCCCGATGATCACAAAATCATAGTTAGAGGCTATATGTTTCTCAGTATCGGCGTTGTCCTCTACGGTGTTATCAAAGGTCACGCTAGGGCATGTGTGTGTTGAGCATGGGACTTCGTCTAGCCCCGCAAAAATCAACTCAGAGGTTCTGGTGCGTTGACATGCAGACTTCCAGCAAATCTTTTCATCGAATTATCAATGGTGCTGGTTTTTGTTTGTGTCAGGACATTGATGGCCTAGGACACTTAAAAAGACATCGCGCCGCCTCCAGTGTAAACTTCTGAGGGTAAGAAAGCAAGTGACTTATATCGACGATTGTGCTCTATGTGAATCTACGTTTACGTCGTGGTACTAAAAGTTCTGTTACCCGCAGAAAGATGTTATTTCAGCCAAGTATGCCACGGAAGGCAGGAGGCGGGCGGAGGAACCACATGAGAGCCCAGCTGCGTCAGGGCATAATTCTCTTTCTAGGGCTCATCAAAGTACGAGTAGGCATACTGAATGGCTAGAGTTCTCTGAAGTTATCTCCAGTCTGATTCAATCTCGGACTTTTGGCCTTTGGTTCATGGCTTAGACATTTCTACACCCGAGGGGAACACTGACGAAGTACCAAGCCGAGGGACTCACTCTCAACCACGCATGTTTCCGGATTTCATCGACTTTGAGTAAGACACGGAAACTTGAGCTCTCAAGCCATATATCCGCATGGTCAGGAAGTTCATCGGTCAAATGAGGTTTCCATGGCTCTCGCAAATGCGAAGAACAACTTGATGAGTGGTGGATGCTGCGTCTAACACTGCAAAAGAAGCGTTAAGTGCGTTATGTTCTCAACCCGCAAACAAAGTAATAGCGATCAGAGATTGAAAATAAGAATACACTTCTACGTATTCACAGCTGTTTGGAGGTGTTTCCATTGCGCTAAAGCTGTGGCGCTCTTGTCTCATTGCAATAGTCCGGATCTATGGACAGCTTGACAACCTCATACAACCACATACGACCATACCCATTGGAAAACTCGGGATCCCGTCCGCTCTCCCATAGATAAGCCAATGAGGGCCGGATTAGTAGTTGGGTCGGTGACGACCAGCGAATACCTGGTGTTGTATGTTTTTGAAGTTTTGGTGGATTCGCGAGCATGCTAGATGTGTGGGTTTGTGTGGAGTTCAGGGCGACGGGGGCGGGGGTGACGACGTTTTGACTTGCTCGTATGCTTTGGCTAGAAGAGACCCTATTTGGACGTGTAGCAGCACTATGTGGCTTTGCATGTTATAAAAATAATCACGCCTGCTGGTTGTCCCGGAAGGTCTGACCCCTTGAGTGGACGCGAGGCGACGTTAGTTGATATCGTTTGCGGTGTGTCCATTATTAGGAGCAGCAAGTCTTAGAGCTTCTATCAACGGCTCTCGGGCGCTTTTGATTGAGATCACTTCATGTTTACATTGATTCAGATGCATGAAATGCTTTTCCTGTGTTAGTCGTGCTGTCACGGCCATCAACATTGCATTGGAAGAGATATCGATGCTTCTGACGTTCCCTCGAGAATAGCGATCTTTCATAGGTAGGTCGGATTGAACTGAAAGTTAGTACTCAGACCGATATCTGGTAGTATTAGGCTGCTGTCTCTATGCATCTACTGGTTGTGCTTCTCTATATATTGTTCATACCCCGAGTGTTGCTATTTAGGCCTCGTATACCGATGTCTGGAGTTAAGATCTCAGCTATGAATCTCCATGACAATACAATATGTCACTGCTGAACTTAAAATCATTAAAGAAAGCCCCTTAGGCCTCGTGTGGAGTAGATACAACAAAGGTGCGGCAAAGACGAGTCCCCTTGGAGGGTGACCTGGCAAGCTCACGTTTGACCACAGGTCTATGTTCTGCAAAGTCGCAGCAAGAAAAGCCTTCGAGTTTCCGTTCTATCCGAAATTTGTCTCCAATATCCCCGTTTACAAGAGGCAACACGAGGGGTCTCGAAACCCTGATGCCAAATCTGAGCCAAGTCTGGCTGATAGACCTCTGATTCATGATGAATCAACTTCCAAGGAAGCCTGGTTTGCCCAATGAAGGCCACCATAAGACTCTATAGTGAATTTCAATGGATAGAGGTCATGACTATGGGGTATTCCGCTGCATATCAGTTTATTCGCCATAAGCTAAAATCTACCCGTCAGAAGAGTCTGCTATGTAAGCCTCATTTTGCTCGCCCATCTTGCTGACGAATGACATACAAACACGACCGAGACGTTCCAGACCTTTGACAAGACTCAAGCCACATGTCATTCTGTCCTACACTTTGTCTCGATGTAGTGACATAGAGACGCGCATGGCTCGGACGCTCCTGCCCGGGCCAGCCAGTAACGAACGGTGCCGTCGGAGGAGACTGCGGGTAAGTACATGTAGACGTCAAGTCTCTTCTCGATATTGTTTCTCATACAAACTTGCGTTTTCGAATCACATGTCTTCGTTTGCGGCATGGGCTCAAGGTAAGCAGGGGCCTTGCATTGCCCATAGGTTCGATATAGCTCGTAGCATTCGTCGAAATCACCACCATTAGGTGCGCGAGAGAGAATGTGTGTATGTGGGCGAGAAAAAGAGTCTGGACCCGCATTCGTCTGATTATAGAACAACAATCGCTCTCTGAAGCCGAGTTGACACTCAATAGATGGAGCTAGCTTATTGCTTTATAAGTTTGGCCAAAGTTGAACCATGAATAGAGGAAGAAGTAGATTGTCAGGGTGCCATCACACAAAGTGTCCGCCAGAGCAGAGTACTGAGTAACGATAGCGATAGCTGAGGAATAGAGATTGATACCATGTTGTCTAGCTATCGCATCCATATTTCAAGAGGGCACATTTGATGATGGTGGAACTTAGCATGCCTCTAACATCATAAACATCAACACATGATCATGGAAATTACACACGGGAGACTTTCTCCTACAAACTTTACGCCTTTGAAAGACACCTAGATATTCTCGATAACTCTCAGGCAGATACAAGTATGGTAACGTCTCTGAAGCGAAATGTCTTCCCGCTTCAAAAGCCACATTCACAACAAGAAACCGTCAGTCCATTCAATAACGGTCACCATGAATCAGGAGTAAGACTTCGTGCCCAAAGTAGAACCTACGTAAATGCTTCCTCTTCGATATCAAGTGCAGTCTTCCAAGGATATCGAGTCTTCTTACATCAACCACAACGGAACATGATCGACAAACCGAGAGGCTCTTCACGAGTCAAATCCTCAGCTCAAGTCAGCTAACACATGCCAAAACACGACATTTGACAACACAAGAGTAGGCCGCAAACTGACACAGAACACTATTCGGCAATTGAAGTCATCGTCGTCGTTGCCAACGTCGTCATCGTGAAGTACATTAAACGTCATACTGCATATCAACACAAGAGTCATTCAACCCAACAGCGTGTCAGCTCACTGCTGGGGGTCCTCTCCGAGACGGGAAAGGAAATTGCCCGTGCCAAGCAAACACCTCTCTCCGTTGTTCTAAGTTGCTTGACAGCTATTCGCCACGCAGATATCCTTTTCCTCTCAACGAACCGCAACACCCTTCAACTGACTAAGGGGACAAACGACGTCTTTCTCGCCTTCCCGGGCCCGAGGTTGTTACCCACGCGGAACACATCAAGTCAGTCGATAACTCGGCTCACCTCGGACTCGGAAGCCGCGTGGGCAAAAAATCCAATCCGGGCGGACGGGCCACCCCAGACCCGCGAACTATCTTACTCTTGCACACACACATCTCTCTCCTACTCTCCTCTCCGTCCCCTCATCCGTCCGTCTCTGCACCGCGTGGGTGCCCGTCCGCCCACAATCCGATCCAAGGTCCGCCCAACATCAGATCAACCAAAGGAGAACCCCGAGTCAAACTCACCAAACACATACACACGTACGTACGTACTACATGTCCAATGCTCAAACTACGTTGCCCACTTCAGCCAAACCAAACCCAACTTTTGACATCTGAAAAAAAAAACAAGGAACCAAAAGAAAGGAAATGGTCTACACTGCAGAAGAAAGAGAGATCCGGGCTTTTCCCACACGCATATCCGTGGTCCCCCCATCCGACCACGCAACCCCAACAAAGAAAGTTTATCGAGCAACCGATTTGGGGCGAGTTGCACTCCTTTCCTCAACCCTCCCTCCCCTCCATCTCCTTCCGCACGGGGACAGTCAGTTCGGTCAGTCCGCCTCACTCCAGCTGAAAAACAACAACAACAAGAACAGCATGACAGGATGGTGAGAGCCTGGCCAGCTTTGAGGCAGGTCACACACGGTGGTCCCGTCAGCAGAGCGTGCGAGAAACTTTGTCGAGCCAAGGCAAGTCAAGGGGGGGAAACAACAACAACAACACCACCCGGGACGGGGACCCGAAAGAAGGCACAAGAGTCAGTCACAACTCTCGCCTAATCTCTCTCGCCCATTTTCGTCCCGAGAGAAATGCCATTTGCTGGCTTTTGCAAAAAAGAGATTCTAGAAGCACGAGATTTTAAACTTTAAATCGTGTAGATCACACAAGGCCAAGGGGCGAACACACGGCACATTGCGGACAATGATATGGAAACTGGAACTCTTTTACAATCCCGCCGATTCGGGTCAAGCCAAGCAAAGAGGAAAGAGCATTGCCGGCGCGCAAGTGGCAGCATATCGACCCCGTCACGGATACTCCATTTTCTCTATCTATATTCCTCGCCCGGTACATTTGCCAGAAACAGGCAAAGGCATCCCGCAGCCGCCCTTTCCCGTCAATCAAACCCCACGTACCACCACGCGGTGCTTTTCCACGCGTTCACGACTCGCCGTGTGATCTGATTCCCTCCGTACGGCAGCATACCTACCTGCTCTTCCCATGAATCTGGGACCATCCGGGGCCCTCGCACATAACGGCAGGCAAAGCCGCTGGGGGGAAGGCGGCCCACTATCGAGCAAAGCGGAAGCCAGCATATATCAAAAGACAGGGCAGGTTCATTATGCGTTCTGGAGTCATGCTGAGAAGCTATACCCGGGGATGATGGAGGGTCCCCCGTCCGAACCGAGGGAATGGAGTGAAGCTCGACGCCCACGTATAGTCAAGGTCATCGGCACCGCGAGCAGGACCGTACCGGCTAGAGGAACAGACAAGAGGTGGCGGGATAGATCTGCTGAACATCATGGACCAGGGCCGTCGACGGCTGTCCTAATACTGCAGCTAGACGTCTTTAGACAACGAAGGGTATCTATCCGTAGATAGGTTGCCCCTTCGCCTGTCCCCGTTGCCACTGGCCACTCCCAAATCATCCCTCGGTCACAAGACCGAATGGCAAAGTAGCACAGCTTACCATGGCCTGAGTACCATCTATTCTATCTGCTTCCCAGCTTTCCCAGGTTCCTTCGCCCCCAAAAGAGTTGGTTTCCAACCCCTTCAACCCTGGTGATCGACCTAGCCTTGCCGGCGCCAAGCGTCGAGGGCATGAAAGACTCGGCAAACCTTCCCCTCGAGAGTTCACGGAACGCCACGTGCAGGGAAGAGAGCTCCGTAGCAATGCGACTTGGTGGACTTCTCCTTCTTCAACACCATGGGTTGAAAGAAGTCACTCGCCTCCAATCAACCAGTCGGAGGAGACGCCCGCCGCTGACCAACAAGGTAGCCTTCTTGTTCTTTTTTCTGCTTTTTTCCAGGGGACCAACGAGTCAACCCGACGCGAGGGAGGCCCTTCCTTGCCTCCGGCCGGTGTCCCAAGTCTGAGCGCCTACCAGATCTTTATGCCTCAGGGTGGCATACACCAATAGCATTCGCAGACGGACGAAGACTGCAGTTTCAGGAGTCGATCTCTTCGTCCAGGGGTCCATCGGCGGGGCGACGCCGAGGGAGGGTAGAGCAGTCCAGCTGTGATGGGGATCTGGGAAGATCATGGTTGTTCGAGGCGGGTAGGGGACACACCTGTGGTCTGTGGCGGAAAGCGGGAGGAACGTTTGCCCAGATAGTTGGCAAGGTCAAGCAGGCTTGATGCCGACTTGTCAGTTCAGTAGCCGCAGCAGTTCGTTTGGGAAAGTTGTGGTTAGTGTGGCCGTGGCAGGCAGGATCTGACATGACGGGATCTCACGATTTACCTGAGAAGGGCGGACGACGGGCAGACGGGTAGGAACAACCGGCTACAGAGGCAAAGCTCGGTTACGAGATGAAGAGAGATGGAAGGATTCCATGCAGCTTGAGAGGCTATGTCGGCGCTTCCTCGTCCACAGACGCGGACTAAAGCAGTCGAGGCATGTGGCATGGCATGCCCACGAGGGCAAGTGAAGGCGACGCAGTGGCGGCTGATGGTGGGGACGACAATGGGCGCCAGAGAGAGACAGAGAAGCAGAACGTCTGTTAGTTACGAGAAAGACTGGATATCTCGTCTGTCAATGTTTCAGACATCTGCCCGAGTGGTACCTGTGCAACTCGGGCACGGCGTCAAAGCACATCGCCAGAGTGGGTGAAGGCGTGCGCCATCCATGCTGTGCAGGAACCGACTAGACTCTGGTGTTTATCGCTTCGGACGAGGACTGAAAAGAGAAGGACGGTGCGTGGGCGGGAGGTGGGAATCGGATTGGCCCTGGCACAGATCTTTGTGTTCATGGGACTGCTAGGCGGCGAAACAAGCATGGCGATATGAAACAAGAGCGGTGGGCGGTAGAGGTGAAGGAGGTATGGGTAAAAGACTCGATGGCAGAAGCCGTCAAGTTTGAGGTAAGGCCAAAAAAAGAGCACCTAGTAAGCTAGGTCCCGTATATCCAAGTTGGGAGCTGGCATTGGCCAGTTGTTGCCTCGTCCGCATCTAGAGGTCGGCGATGTGATATTGTTCCGGGTCTTTGCTCCGAGTACGGGGTCGACGGCGTCCGCACACCGTATGTACACGAGAGGACAAGGCTGGCGACTAGCATGATTCGAGAAGAAGATATAGCGGAACTTCATAGCTAGTTCATACGGGATCAAGCGCAGTCAGGCAAGCCACAGATGCTTGTCTAGCTGTCTAGCTGTTTGTCTCCGTGTCTATCGAAGCTCGCGAGGCTCGAGTATAGGAAAAAGAAGCACCAGTCCGTGTACACTAGATCTCCCGGTCGACCGTCCGTTCCCATCATAGGATCCGTGACAGCGGAGCCCGTCGAAGGAAGGCATGCTTGGAACAGCCACTTTGGCAGCTTCTGGTTGTTGATAGTATGGATCCCATGAGAGGTGTCGGACCTCAGTTGAGCCAACCGGAACGCACCAACGACAGATACCCTGCAAAGGGACTGTGAGTTGAACGCAAGTGCGGTTGTCCAGGCCCAGCCTTGCTGGGGAGATCCCTTTCGTTTAGCAACCTCCAAGAGCTGAGCGAGCATGTTCAAAGCTGACATAAACGGCCGATCGCTGCCTCAAGTCGTTCTGGAAGACGATGTGACATGTCCCTAGAAAGTCGTCGCCCGTGTTTCATGTACCTGAAAACCGCCCCTCTCGCCGTGTTTCGGGTGCTGCACAACATTGGCTCCAAGCACACTTGCACCCTTCCAGACCACCCAGGAAAGCTAGAAAAGCTAGGAAAGCGGCGAAGCCCTGTGAACAAGCCCGCCGGTTGCAGGGAAAACTGGAGAAGGCCTGCGGGTTGACATCAACACGAGCTTCTGCCCGTGGTTTGCGCAAAGCGAACTAGGCATTGTCGTATCGAGGGTGGGGGAAACTTGTTGATGGAAACCGCGGTGGAAATAGATGGCTGGGTGCATGCTGCTGTCGCATTGTTTACACTTCTTCTCCGCCGTCACCGCAGCTGGTGCGGATAGGGATTAGGGAGAGAGAACCACACCGTACAGGCTGGTTCATGCACGAATCATACTTCGCCATGGGGGAGCGCGGCCGGCACGGCTGCTGGGCGCCAGTGTCCCTGAGGTTGTCGTGTATGCCCACCACCACCACCACCACCACCACCACTACCACCAGCCACGACGCGGGTCGAGGACAAGTCGACGTCGAAAATGTCATGTTTCGTCGACTCAGCGAGGCGAGGAAGATCGGCCGTCCCTTCCCTGTTGTTTCAGAGTTGCTCTGGGTTTGGCAGCCTTTCCCATCTCCACTGAACCGGATCCAGGGAACTCGACGTGCTTTTTGAGTTCAAGGGTAGAGTTGGTCAGATGTATTCGTATCTGCTTCCTTGAACTGCAGTCAGTCGTCATGACCGGTGTCAACCAGGATATGAACAACGCATCGGGCCCTGTGGTAAAAGTCCGAAAAAAAAGTCTCTTTTTCCTTTGCAGTAGCCTGTAGGCTGGTGGAACTCGCCCACAATGGTCGGGAATTATTGTGCAGATTTGACAGGTGAGCGGCAGGTAGGCCGGTGGTGGCGAGTGACGGCTACCGTCGACCAGCCGCCGCCGGAGAAATAATGGACGGCGGTAGCGCGAGGTCGCCGAGGCCCCAGCGAGGTCGACTGCCGATATACCCAGATCCTCGTCTCTCACGCTCCTTCTCGGAGGTTCAAGTTTCATCTCATGGCTGGAGTCGTTCCTCGTAGCGTGCCATTGCCAGACGAATGGCCATCCCCATCACAGGCAAGCCTGGCAGCAAGGAGGGCAATGTTTCCATGTATGATGTCCCAAGTCTATGCAGGCAGGCGAGCACATCACTTTGGTCGGCTGGGATGTTTCTATTCCTGTTTCCTCGACCACGAATACTGTGCCGGCGGCAAGGACCTCGACCTGCTGGCGGCCGGAGCCCCGCGCGAGCTAGGCGGGATGATGAGGAGAGAGAATAAAATAGGAGATCTGCTGATGCGGTGTGAAGCCGAGATGGACCATGGTCGAGGTGAAAGGCTCGCAGGTAATCTCAGCAGCCGCCAGGCGCACACTGTACTGGGGCGAGGCGGCCGAAGGTTCTGCGACCCGATCTCACTCCCGCATGTGCCGTGCAACGATTCCCAGATGAATGGGCAGTGATCTCAAAAAAGCAAAAGCTATTTCTGGCCCATGTTGACCAGTGTGATGCGAGTAAGGGTAAGCGTGGGCGGATTGGTCGTGTGCATGCGCAAGTGGTATATGGAGTACGTTGGTGGTTGGGTACGGAGTAGACGGGATATGTGTGTGTGGTGTGTGGTGCTTGGTGTGGTCTGGAGGTGGGACGGGAAGGAGACCAGGCCAAACGCTGGGAGAGGGGCGGCAGCTGGCAGCAAGCGCAGGCAGGCAGGACAGGACAAGAGCAGACAGGCAGGGGAGGGGCAGGTGAGGTGGGAGCGAGAACGGGACGCCCCACTTGAACATCATGGAATGAATCTGAGGGAACCAATGAAAAGGCTGAGATGCTCCTAGCGCCTACAGGGCAAGCTCTTCAGGAATATCATTGGCTTCTGCGGCTTAAGCTTAGGCCGAATCCACCAGGGTCCATTTCTGAAACTGCCCACAGCTGCCCACACGGCATCAGTCAGCAGAACCCGACTGGCAGTATCCCGACAGACGCTGGGCCCCAAGGGCCTCACTTTGAGTGACCACGGCATCACGCTCCTCTTCCTTTTTCCGCTTGCTGGTGCTTGGCCCATTGTGTGTGTGTGTGTGTGTGTGTGTATGTGTGTGATCCATGAGCATGCTTGGGTCGCTCACTGGTCAAACAGGCCCATGATATGACGAATGATACTAATCCAGCATCCCGGCCTCGAGGGGTCTAGACTTGATCACCATTCTTTCCTCAACGGATAGATGTTGCTTAGTGCATGGTACTCCACGCCCGAAGCAAAAAAAAGCTCCGTCAGTGGTTTGTTTGGTGGAGACGAATCCATTTTACCGCATTCCTCAGGCGTTACGCTTTGTCTCTGAATCTCGAGTCTGAGTCTCTGCTTCTCTTTTCCCACATGATGTCTTTTTTCGAAAAAGAGTGGACATCAACAACCTTGTGCCGCGTGCGCAGCGTACGGATACCCAGCTACTGGGGACCTGAATCGCTTACAAGTTGCTCTACCCGTGTTCGCACCAGCATTGGAACTTGAGAGCGCTTGTTTTGGGCTTCTTGCGACGGCCGAGCTTCGACAAACTTGGGACCGCTTGGAGACTCAAAATAGCAGCAGGCAACGATTGCCTCAGTAACTCGACTGAATAACTCGACTGATTCGTCCATTTCGTCCCAGCTTCCCAAGGACATGAATGTGACGGCCAGCTTAGGAAATGGCCTATGCGCAGTCCAGAAGCGGCACGCATCCCGGCCGAACTTCCCTTGCCTGGCTTGCCTTATCCCCGTCACCGCATTCTCCGTTGACGAAAGTCTCACGATGCTGTCCGCGCGGGACAGGATGCACCTGTCAGGGGGAGAATGATCGTCGTTGATTCTTCCAAAGCTTCCCGATGCCCCTCTTTTGTTTGCCGCTACCACCAAGAATGCAGAAGACGGTAAACATTTAAGATTACGGAGGGGCTTTGCAGATGGTATCATGGCATTCGACCCAGCGGAAGAGCTTCCTATTTAGGCCGTGTCTCCGTCCTCATCGCTTGCCCGAGTTCAACCCCAGTCCGGGACCCCGAACCGTGAATTCCATCACCTGAACGACCTCTCTTCACCGTGGCATGTACGGAGTACAGAGTACGGGTACGGGCGGTAGAGGGATGGAGTGCAACTCGTGCTGAAGGGAAGGGAGGGCGATAGACGACAGTTCCCAGACAAGCGGGTGATGCCTGGCCGTGCGGGAGGTCGACAGCGGTCAACATGAACTCTCCCATCCTGACCGAACGCACTGAAGTCGGCCAGGGTAGCGGGACGATCAGGCGAGGTGGGAAAGCTGGTCGCCGTCTTCTCAAGACCCGGACCCGGACCTCGACCTAGTTCTAGCGTGGGCTTGCCTTGTCAGGAACTTAGCAACCATACAACCATTATCCTCGCCCACGCCGAAGACAAAGGCGAAAGCTACGAGTCTACACAGCGATTAGTGTACGAATACTGCGTACTCGGCGGGGGAGGGTGTTCAGGCGTGAGGCAGGCGACGTGCAGCTGGCATCTGCTGGCTTGGAGTTTCAGAAAGCTCGGGGTAGCGTGCGTCGCATTCTGGCAGGATGATCAAACAGCCACAACCATGGTCCATCATCCATGAACAACATCCCGCCGACGGCTCCCTCCACCGCGCAACAAGGCCGGTTTGCCGTCTTGTCAAGAGCAGTGCAGGACCGCAGGCTGATGCTTGAGATCTCGTACCTTGCATAGAGAGGTACAGCGCTGCCGTCCGAGGTTCGGCCGTCGCCTCCATTCCAACGTCGTGTCTTGCTCCCGACTTGACCCATGGGCCATGAACCTGCCCATCCTGGATCCATATCGAAGGCGGCCTTTGCCCTCCTTCGCGGCGGATCGCAGCTTTGTGGAACCGACTGCAGCGATTCTGAAAGAAAACGAGCAAAGAGTATCGCATTACCGAGTTCTTGTTTTTGTTGGTCCCGTACGAAGGATGATGTCGGTTTAATCCCCGAAAGGTCCACTCTATCGAGTTCATGTCCGCACTGAGCAGAAAGTGAGGACGGTGTTCCGTAAGGCCACCGTAACGGTCAGGTATTGAGGCCTTGGCCCGGATCGGATGGCAAGAGTCGAAAACGGGATGGCTCTGGAGCCCGATATTCTCCACATGGCCGAAATCGTGTTCTGTTCCTAGTCAGTCACTCAGTTCAATATCAAGACACGATTCAAGCGACCCCATTGACGACACCGTGCAGATGCTGGGAAGAACACAGAGAACCGTGCGGATAAATGATGGCGCAGTCGGAGCATACTTTGACTGCCCAGTCATTGTGAGTGGTGACCATTTCAACAGTAACCAGCAGGTGCAGTCGTTGGGAGACTAACGTAGAGCATGCAGGCGGAGCGAAAATCGTGGACCAGTATGAAAGTGTAGAGTGATGTGCATGAAAGCTGCTGAGGGGACGAGCGCCATTTGGCCGCAAAACCTGGCCTGTCAGCCTGTGATATTGTCGAGAGGTTATTCGGAAAGCCTGAAGGCATATCGCCCTAATTGGTGTAAGGCCGTCCAATGAATCCTGGCACGACGGAGGGCCAAAGCCACCACCAGTGTTGCCGGACACTTCTTTGGTCTACATCGTAGCTCGCGGCAGCGAATCATCCCGTGTTGGGCGATTCTGATCTTCGCTGTACGCGGTGTAGTGTGATAGGTAGGTCGGGCTGGCGGGACGTCGTGACTCGATGAAAGCAAGCGTTCCTGGCGAGAGAGGCACGCGAGTTGGAGGGGCGTGAGATAAGCGAAAGGGGGGCAGTGGTTACAGTTGCAACTTTGATAGAGGGACGATACTATAAGCGGATTAGCGCTTGATTTTGGTAGCCAAAGCTGATTTCTGAAGCAATGCGCCAGGCAAGTTTCACAGTTGGCAGGGCCCTGCCAGCAATTCTGCGGCAGCGACACGCAGTTTCCAAAGTGGACATAAGCAGAGTACGTACTGCAGCGCTTTTCGTGTAGGTGACCTTTGCCTAACATTTAGGGCAGAAAACTACCCGATCCCCACTCCACATCTTTGCTAGCCAGTCAACTTCTGGCTTGGCTAGTGGCCCTAGCTTCTTTCTCGCGTCATCCACTTTGTTCCGACCTTCCTGCATGGCTCTCGCTTTCTCTGTCGATTCGTACCTTTTTCACCCAGAACCGCGGCAGGCCGCACGACACTGACTACGCGCACGATCACATTCAGAGGGCGACCATTGGCGAGCTATGTACGAAATTTGCTGAGATGCCGCAGTCCCTCGCTGGCCTATTGTCGCATGTGTGCTATGGCATCCCATCATACTGGCCGGGAATGGACTGAGATGAAAAGGTGCGTTGTTCTGAATGCAATCTGTTGATGGCTAACTACGCTAAAGCGTGACGGCCTCCACTGTCTTGGACTTATCAATCTCCTTTGTCTCTCTCACACTCAGACAAATGCGGCCGCGGACCACTCCGTGTGACCAGAAGACAAGGCTGGAAACAACGTTATAGGGTCTTGACTCTGGAGCTTGAGTCTTGACGAGGAATGCAGCGTGTCTGAAGCCCACGACACATCCCATCAACGGCTCGCTTCCAACGGTTGATGTTCTCCACGACCGGGAGCTGTGACGGTCCGAGCGTGCTTGTGGCAGCTGGCAGGCAAAGCAAGTTGCTTTCGTACAATACCGTGAATACCTACACTATCTGTACAGTCTCTGAGTCTACGGGTACTTTCCTACGCCATATCAACGTACTCGATAAGCCTGCCGATCCATCGGCCGCTACTGTCACCGACTTCACTGCCCAGGGACTCGGACCTGCATTTCGACCCTCAGCTGATGGCAACAGCGTCACATCGGAAAAAGGCGCGCTCTGCATTCTTTCAGGGGCACAACACGAGCCTCTTGATGAGATGACGAGCCGAACTTATCCAGTACCCTTCGTCGCGAAATCGACGCTTGTCGAGAAAGGGAGCATATCCGATGTGCCCCAAGTCGAGAGCCACGTTGTTGCACAGGCTTTCGACGACGACCCTACGACCTTTTTTACCCACTGACTATTGGCGTCGCGGCGTCTACTTTCACGAATTGTAGTTCTCCTCCTCGCAGCCTCAACGGTCTTGCCTGCTGCAAGTATATGGCTTTGGCAGTCAGTCAGCCACGGCCGTCCGAGCTGCGCGTCTTGCTGTTCCAAGAGACAGCTTTCAACTCGTAGTGGACTTGTCTCATTAAACTACCAGAGTGCTCGGACTGAGCGAACCTCACCGGTGCTGTCGTCGGCCGCTGCGGCGTATTCGTCCGTCCTCGTGCAAGTGCTCAGGAGAAGGCAATCTTACAAAATAATGGCAGCGATGTGTCAACTATTGCAGCCATTGCATCCATTGCATTCCGAGCAAAACGCGAAAAGTCACTCGTGGAGCTGGAGCTGCTGCTGGACCCCCAAAACAAGCGATATTGCATGTGGAGATTATTGGGCAGTCTCCTCACGTCTTGTTGCTGATGACCTGCACGATAGCCATGGGACATGCATTACCGTTCTCTAGCAGGCCTGCCTAAACCTTCTTTTCCCTCTTCATCCTTTGCTCCGTCAACACCCCTGGGCCGGTTCTGGTCTTGCTTCTCTCTTCCTCTTTTGATCGTGCCGAAGAAGAAGGCTTCATTTCACCGGACATCCAACCCAATGCAACATGCAAGTAAGAGACACGGCTCCGGATCTTGCTCTGCAAAGACCATCTGGGAGCCGGACGGCCCCGCTGCAAGGACCTGGCCTGCTCCGGTTCGCGGAAGACAATGGGAGAGTTCGCGAGATGCGATGACTTGTCTGGTTGGCCTGCAGTATATGAGTATACTCTGTCAGACAGCTGTGCATAAAATATGTCAAATCCCGACAAGTCGACTTATCCAGAGTTTGGCTACGCCCTGACCTCCAGGTCTCTCTTAGTCTAGAGTCTTATCCCAACATTGTTGCCGGCCTTTTTCGTCAGCTTTCTCTCCGCTGTCTCCGACGACGCCTCATTTTCCGTTCCTGCATGGCTGAGAGACCGGATCCACATGTCTTGCTCCCTTCTGGCAAACCCTTCGCCCATTGTCTTTGGCACTGCTGGTTCGTCACACACACACACAGACACGGCCGTTGCCGTCGTCACAAACAATCACGAAAAAGGATACGATCCGGACAAGGTCCGCCGCGGCGAACCATTGATTGTTTCTGGGGACGGGGGGGGGGGGGGGCACAAGTGTCCTAGACCAACAGCATGGGTCTCTCAATCATGATTCAGAGATTCGTCAGATCCTCGTTCAATAGCCGGTTGCTTGCGGCGTGGTAAGTAGAACAAGCAAGCTGCGTCTGTTTCGACTTGTGCGGACGGGTCGGTTCTAGACGTACGATGGGAAGAGAGTCAATGTAACTGTAGTTCCGGGCCACTTGTTGTTGCTGCCCATTAATAGAGAGCACATATTGAAGTATTGCCATTTTTTATTTTAATTTTCTGGTGCCGTTCCTTGTCTACCTTCCTGCACCCGCAGCCAAACGACCCATACCCAGAAGGATAGAACCAAAGACCTTGTCAATAGTAGAACATGGGGTTATCCATGACAGGGCCTCACGGACGGCCTTTCAGCAGCAGACGGTCGCCCAGAATTGTCTCCCGCTGATGTAGGTACTTCGTTCTAAAAAAACCAACGATGCTGAAGCGCACAACGCTCAGGTCTCGCACGCGGCCGGATCTTTTCTTCTTGCTGCCCCTCCTCTAGCGTCTTGCGCGTTGTGTGAGAATACAATGACTTGAGTACATGCTTCCCCAGCACGATCCATCCTAGCCAGTGCGACCACCCATCAGGGGAATTGTATCTTGTGGTTTTGCTTGGGGGGTTCTTTGGACCGGTATTCGTGGTTGTAGCATGAAGATATGAACCAGCCCAATTCAAGCCACCTCTGGAAAAGACACCAATCAGTGGCCTGAGACTAACGACGAAAGTTGACCGTCTCATCAACCGCCAGACGCCGCTAGCCAAGCATCTTCAACGGGATCACCATAGCAAATCGAGAATCTTGTCACTACTGGATCTTGAACAGGAGTTAATCGATAATGGTGGGATGGGAGAAGAAGCATTTTGGCCAGGGCCCAGAGCAACCAAGCTTTCTGAATTCGCACTGCATTTTTCGGTCCCGTTAGATTCACCGCTGGGGGAAGAAATACACTGCCAAAGCAGACAGCAAGCAAGCCGGGCGGAAATTTTCCAACAGGCAATGACGAAAGAACGGCAGTACGGAGTACATGCGAATTAGACCTCTTCTAGGGTAGAGTTGCCCGCGTAAAGGCAGAAGATCTTCCCAGAGAATAAATGCGAGAAAAAAACCTCCGCTCGCCGCTGTCGACTGATTTTTCTTCTAGAGCGTATCCGTACATTATCTCCTTCTTCATTCCCCAGTTTTTCGATTCCATGCCATGGATGATGGTGTTCCCCTCCAAAGGAAGCCCGTTCACCGAAAACCAGAATCCTTGCTCCGGTCCTGTGTGCCTGGCATTGTTAGCAGGAAACTCTATCGGCACACCCTCTTGATGGGGTGTGGGGATCATGGATGGCGCCAAAAGTTGCATCCCAGCCCAGGGTTTGGGCGCGCGACCCAATGGCACGAATAATTTTTTTCTTCAAGATTTGATGCCCTTCACTGCATTTTCTGGGTCTTGCGTGGGAAAAATGTCAAGGACGGGGAAAACGGGCCATGGTAAAGTTCAACGGTGCAAGCGTAATGACCACACACGGAATCCCGCCACAGAAATCGATGATGGGCATATCGGCACCGGGATGGAAATGAGATTCCCCTGGACTATCGAGATTAGGTCCGGCGCCCGGGTTTTTTAACCTTTGGAGAACAAGCTTAGAGAGCGTTCTGTCACGGCGTGCCGCCATCCGCCCAGTACATACATACACTACCACGACGGGGGGCCCAGCGGAACACGATGGGGACTTAAGGGGGGATCTACTGCTAGACATCTCGGGGCCTTTTACGGAGGAGGGGGATGCGCATATTAATCCCGAGAAAGGGCAGTGGAGATGGTTAGCCTTGCCTTGCGCCGGCCGTTGACTGCCTGTTTTTGATGAATATCCTAGAGAATTCTGGCCGGGTCCCTTGAGCAGAGAGAGCAGAGCACAGCACAAGGAGTAAAGAGACCAGACTTCGTTTTTTTTGTGCAAGAGAGAGACAGAGACAGAAGAGCGTTGTCCTCAGTCCACCATCCCTGACGACAACAGAAGAATCCGGTCTTCCTGTTGGCCAAGGCCAAGGGCCCCAACTGCAACCAAACCCACTGATGCCCATCGAAATGGACCACTGCCGTTCATGGGCGCCGTGGACGATGTCCGCATGTCGCCCCCCCTGGCGGAAGGGAAGCCCTGACAGGAAGCAGAGCAAGGTTGTCGGCATCAATGACATGCGAGGTCCAGCATGTTAGTGGGTTGGGTTGGGTCGTTGGAGGGAGAGGGAGAGAGATGGTGGAGGGGGGACTTGTTACGCAGGGACTGCCACTGACAGTGACTTTACATGTGCATTGTGCGGCTATGGAGAACCACCAGACGCAGACAGTCATCGAAGACTCTAGGGCCTAGAGCGAAGGGCCGCGCGAGACTTGTCTGACCATCTAACTGACTTGGCTCAGCGCGTTGAGCGAGAGTGAGAGCGCGAGACTTTCTCCTCCTCCTCCTCTTTCTTTAGTCAACGCGAGAAAGCCGCAAAAGGCGCGAGCGCAGGCAAGGGACAGACAGCGAGCGCGAGTGGGAGCCAATGTCAGTGTCAGTGTCGCTGTCGCTGCCAAAGCCAGTCAGTGTTGTTGCCGTCCGCTCTGTCGGCGGTTGATGGGTTTCCTGTAATGTCCCCCTTCGCTACGCGGTGCGGACTGCGGTGCTCTGCATCCCGCTATACGTATTATCCTAGGTGCTTAACACGACACCTTAGTTTTTACTCGCTTGGGGGCGCCGTTGTGTCTTGTAAGCGGTATGTAGCGATATTGCTTTGTGGACACACGAGCTTGCCGGCAACTGGGGCCTGCTTGTCCGGGGCTTCTTGTCTACATACCTAGGTGGTCCGTAGTGAATCGTCCTTCTCTCGTTTCTGCAAGATGCAATTCCCTATCCTGGACCAACTCAACTAGATCCATGATCTTAGAACGGGTCAGATAGACAAATAGAGAACGAGAGGTACAGAGGGACGGAAGAGAGACATTTGGCAGATACATTGTCTCGGGGCCGCTTTACCGGTTGCAAGCGAGAGAGACTTTGAAAGTGGTTCACCCCTGGTACAACTAAACTCAACTCAACTCTCGTCACCTCTCATCCACCACCCCTTACTTTTTTCTGTACCCTACATACATACACTTTCCGCCCAGATGCCCCGTGCGCAAAGGAAGAGAAGAAGAGGTGAAGAGAGATGAAAGAAGAAGAAGAACCAACCTACCAGGCTATCAGCCAAAGCTATGCCGATTGCGAAAGCCTTTGCCTTTTCTCCATCACACCTGCCTCCCCCGCGGGGGGCCTGGCCTGGCGCGGCGCGCCGTCCTTCTTTCACACTCTATCTCTATCTCTCTTCTCCCTATTTCAAAAGTGACTACGGATAGTGTACAGAGCTCCAGATAGAGACTCTTTTCCTACAGCGGCCAAGCGAGAACGACGGGGCCTGGAATTTCGTCAGATGGGGCTAAGAGACAGACACTTGGGAGCGGGAAAGAAAGAAAACCGTCCGGATTAGCAGCGGCCATCTTTCTCTTGTCTCTCAACTCTCACTCTAAAGTCTCGGGAGCAAAGGCTAATTCCAGGTCCGGCCAATCGGCGATCCACAAAGATTCCCTGGGCACCCCCGGTTGGTACTTCCGCACGCTTTCTCTCCCCTCCATCTGGTGGTGCCGTGGTGGCCACCCCGTATGGTACAGTTTCCCTAGCAGTATGGGCTTCGACTTTGACTTCTCCTCCTAGAACAGGGACAGACAGGAACAGGGACGGCATGTCAGGAACAAAAGGAACATGATCTCATGATGCTTCTGTATGGGAATATGTATATACT